GTTGTTCTGGGTCAAAGCAACAGTACGACCCTAACCCGACGGGTCGGGTCATGCGGGTCACGGGTCATTAAAATTACTAACCCTGACTCGATTTAAAATCCGGGTCGGGTCGATCACCCGGGTCTGACCCGACCCTTTCGGAGCACTAATTAGGGATAAAATAAAACTTTTTTTTTCTTTTTGAAAATTGACTTCGTTCACATTTTTTTTTTTTTTTTTTAAATAAAATAAAATAAAACGAAAGATTCCAATTTATTTTATAACAAATATGAGGTTACAAAGTTTGAATTCATTAATCCTTGCGATATCGTTTCTCACTTTTTCATCGGCACAAAATAATCTTTACACAACTCCGTTCATCACTTCATCCACGTCAAAATTCGGAAGAAGATTCAAGGGAACGTCGGTGAATGTGAACGGGGATATGTTTGCAACAAATTTCGATGCAAAAATATTCGATATTGATAGTATCATACCATCACAATCGGTTTATCATATTTCCTCATCACAAGAATCTTTTTAAAATGGTGTAAGGTACATCCCATTAACGAAAACTCAAGTGAATCAAGGTATAAAGGGGGTAGCATTATTGACCAATGTAAATGAGGATCAAATTACGAAAATCGTTGTACAAAAGATGGTTACGTTAAGCAAAGTGCATTCTATAAGGATAAAATGTTATCGTTACCAAATGATTTAGCGTATAGATACAAACTAATCGAATATATATCTCGGCGCAAAATATTACCGAGAATACCGTCAAAGGGTGGGAGATTATGGTTTTGTGGTGGTAAAGATTGAGCACCTAACATTTGGACGAACGGAATGGTATAGAAGTGTCACCTGATGAAAGCATTTATATACTTCAGAAACTTTAAATAAAGATTCCAAAGTGATAACCAATAAGATTTGAAGATTTGACATTGATAAACGTACGGGGAAAATATCTAACCAAGTACTTTTCGTGATTTTGAAAATTAGATGGTACTCATATGATTGATATTGATGGCATGAGAACTAACATTGATGGGAATTTGTATGTCACAAGACATGATGGAAGTCACGTCACCGTGCTTTGCCCTCTAGGCAAACAATTAATTTTACTTCTATTCAAAATCCTACCATTTTGGATTTTGGTGGTAAAGATGGTAAAACTTTATTCATGGTACGAAAGGTTGCGTAGAAACCATTCAAATGATATAGCTGGCAGAGCGTTTACCGCTTTAAAATCTCTAAATGAGAATTTAATTAACATATTAATAAATTTTATGGGATAGAAATCAATTCTAAATTCCAAACTTGTAATTTATTATTTATAAAAAAAAAAGAAAAATTGTAATATCTTAATTAAGAAATAAGGAACTTTTTTTTATTTGAAAAATTTATTTATATTGGTACAGATAGAACTCGATATAACGAATTCTTGATATAACGATCACTTAATAAATTCTCGTTTAAACCGATTTTAAAAAAATTTTTTTTATCCTAATTAAACATATAAAAAATCGTTATACCAAATTTATAAATTTTGATAAAACGGTTTTTTCTTCAAAAATTTTTATAATAAACCGTGGACTGTATATATTAAAATGCGTGAACTTTACACAAAGTTTTTAGTTAATTTTTTTGTACCGCAACAATGGACGTAAAAGAAAGATCAAATATACAATAGAAGACATACTAGGAAAATTTGGTATTTTGAGGTAAATATAATGATCACATTAAATGTCAAAACGATGAATTAAATAGGTTTATTTGGGGATTAGAATTAATTTTTCCATTCGAAGAATGAGGGTGCTATGATGAATCTGGTTCCTTCTATCGTACAGTAAGTAAGTATCATTTGATTGAAATTCAGATATGCTAAAATTCAACAAGAATACATGAACCCATATTCATTACAAAATGAGTAAGTTTATTAAATAATCACACAAATATAATTTACATAAGAAAAATTGATCAATGAATTACTAATGAAATATGTTCTTAAAAATGAAATAAAGGACCAATCATATATAAAAGTATATCAAACAAAAAAAAAAAAAAAAAAAAAAAAAAAAAGTGAATTGAAAAAAAAAATAAAGATTAAATGAATGAAAAATATTTAATGTATATATTATATTAGTGTTTGCGCTATCAAAAAAAAAGAATGTAAAATTTTGAAATTACAATAAACAAATATAGTATTTTTTTTATTATATAAGATATATTTTTTTTAAGAAATGTACATTAAAACCAAACTACGAAAATTTAGTGAATAAAAAAAAAAAACACTTGAGAATTCAAACAAAGAATAATTTTGTCGGAAAAATTCTAGTAAAAAGAAAGAGATTTGTATATAGGGTTGTTATCAGAAGAAAAAACGCAATAAAAAAAAAAGTTTGAATAATTTTGTACATTTACGCACTAAAAGAGAATGTATTAACAAGTTTCAGGGTATACGAAACGAAAATAAAAATAAATTTATAAATAAGCGATAGCTAATGAAGTGTTAATTGTGCCTTAATCTATACAAAAAGAAATTACAATAATAATGAAAAAAGAAGTCCTATTTTACAAAATAAACATAAAGCGATGTAAGAAATTTGTTCGTGATTATAAAATTAATTATTTCATAGAGGAGAAAAATAAATAAAAAATAATGCGTTTTATGATAAAATTTTTTACACTAAAAAATAATTATATTAATATCGATTCTTTTAAATTCACAGGACCGGCATCCTCAAGACATATAAGAATTTCAGTATGCTCAATCCCAGTAATACTTCTCGGACCAAATCACCTGGAATATATACTCAAGTACCCCATCCGCAGCTCTAATCACAAACAGTTTACCAACCGGAGGAGGTACTTTAATTGCGAACGAGATTAGCGAAGTAAATGTGTAGTATCTGAAACTGCGATCTTTTGTTTATATTTCCTAGCTTTTGAACGAACTGTAACAAATTTTAATGTTTGAGAATCTAAACGAATAGCAATAAATATTAATAATTGAATGTAATTTTTATAATGCACGAATAAAATTCATGTTTTATGATGTAATCAAAGCTTTTATGTTCTTAATACATGCCAAGAGAGCTTTGAATTGGACTAGCATGGAAACGTCTTTGAGAAGTGAACTATAATTAAACAAAATACGTAATGAAACCGATTATGTGAATTAAAGCCATTCCTTTCTAATACAAAATGGGAACGTAGTGTGGTTTTTTGCATTTATGAGGTTTGTATGGAATGGGAACATGGCTTCATTTTTTCTCAAACAATTTATTCAATACTTTATTGTTAAAAATTGAAAATTTGATATACAATTAGTTGAACATCATTTCTAAATTCGTTGAACTTTGACCAAAAGAAGATTCTCCACTTAAACTAATATTCGCGAGATTCCACTCTATAATCATCACCCCACGATTAGGAAATTCGCAGAAGACACATTAGAATACAATTGACGAAGATTCTGCGTCGGATCAGGAGAGTTTAGGATGTCCAGAAAAACTTTAGCGCGTTGATCCAGTACAACGAAAGGAATGGTCGAAACATCAAAGCAGACCACATGTATCACCTTCTTTGAAATCTTTTCTTATTCTAATATTAGATGAATATCGGTTGATTGGGTGGTTTGTACGTCGTCGCAAAAAAAAAAAAAAAATATGAATTATAAATTTTTATTACCATCAATAGACAAAACTTCATCGAGAAGGTTATCGTTCATAGTATCATCTTCAGCATTAGGTGATGAATTAAAAATAGATTCCAAAGAATTCGAAAAGGGATTTGATCGTTGTGAAATTGCAGAATTTATTAAAGTAGGTTGCTGAGGGAGACGATTAAGACATTTCCGGTCTTTCAGGAAATCTCGTCTTCGTAATTTCTTAATTCGTCCAAAGCTTTTTTGATGATTGGACCAAATACGTGTCCATCCCAACCAAAACCAAGGGCAATGTACTACGCTTGAATATGCTGTAAATATTGATCAAGAGAACCGGCTTTTATGTGGGCCTTTCTTTTCGAATCAATATATTCCTGTAAAGTTTCCTTTATTATAGGAAAGTAATTTATTGATTCACCTGGATGTAAACTTTATCACATTTAATAAAATTTGTCACATCTACTCTCCAAGCTCTCGTGTTTATGCTTGGACTTCTTTTACCACGTATATTACGGTCGTTAGCAATGAATTTGACTTATCACTCTTTGTTGACGAATGATCTTCGCGTGAAGAATGAGCAATTGGCTGGTGCTGTGAAGAAGGTGAAGTTTGATGCTCTCTAATTGGTGACATATTTTCCAACGAAAAGTAAAAGGAAGAGAGACGAAATTTTTTTTGTTTAATGAGTGTAATGATGATCAACCTTGCTAAATAACGTGGCGCAGTTTTTTTAATAACTAAATGGTGTTATTGTAAATTTTTTTTCATCTTTCAGACCCTACTTTGGTATGAATAAAAATTCGTAATTTATTCTTTCAACTTTTTTAGTTGCATACATAATTTTACTGCAATAGATAAAAAGATTAAATTGTCACAACAAGCTCGGCACCTTTTATCACCAGAGGAAAAACCAAACCCTCTTTCAATATAGATTAAAAAATTGAATATATTTTGTATTACTTATATTAATAAGTAAATTGTTCAAAACAAATCAGGGTAATAAACCCCAGTTTTAGAGATCTAAAATATACATTAGGCGAGGTGGTTTGCATAAGTTGCATCGAATCCTCGAAAACTTTAATCCCCTGCTTAAAATACTCGGTTGTTTTAACGGGGGGTGGATGTGGATCGTTCAATTAAATTTACAGTGGCGATCAAAAATAACGCATCACCTAAATGAAAATATTTAAATAAAAATAACTTTTCATATAATGCTCA